GAGTAGTATGATATCTATTATGTATGGTAGTGGAAGTGTTGTATTTTTTGGAACCCATACAAAAGATGATTGTTAGCATTTTGTGATCTACGAGCGTAGCAATCAAATGAGAGATATGTCCTTTTCTACCACAATAATTACACCAAATTTAGTGTTTGCATATGGCTTTTTACATGATGTCATGTGACATATAAGAAGAATTTTATTTTGATGTTGAAATTGTTGGAGCTTTATAATAAACATGTGATCTCATGCATAAATCTAATCTTGCTTTTAATAGAATATTTTCTCTTTTCAAGTTACAAACAAGTAAGAAACGATCTTATAAAAAGAACTATTTTCTTTTTCAAACCATCACATTCATTTTTTAAAATCATTAAAATGATATCTAATTTTTTATGATCATTTTTTCTAAAACATTATATTATTTCTTTTAATTTTTTATATTCAATAACTAATTTCATTAAAAGCATCATCTAATTCTTCATAAGAAAATCATTACATACCTCTTGAGAATCATGATCTATTCTTCTCCCGCCATAAGGCAAATGTTCACCTCTTCATCTGATGAACTTGATTCATCTGTAATCTGTGGTTGGCCCATAGTGCCTTCTTTTTCTTCTGAAATACTTTTTTCTTTCTTGTCACTCTTCTCTTCTACATCCATCTCTTTCTTCTTTGAATCAATAAGATCTGGACAATCTCCTCTTATTGTCCAGGCTTCTTGCAATGGTAACAAAATAATCCCCTCTCCTGTAGGAAATTTCTTAGTTTGAAATTTATAATTTTTGGATTCTTATACTTTGATTTTCTTCCTTAGTAAGCTTCCAAGTCTTCTTGAAAGCATGGCCACCTCATCACTATCTTCATTAGAGCTTGATGAACTTGGTTCATCATTATCATCAACTTGCAAGGCAATAGTTTTTCCTTTCTCTTTCCTTTCTTTGAAGATTCCATCCAATTTATCCTTTGAGCTATAAACCTGTTCACTGTGCTATCAAGAAACCCAAAACTGATCAAGTGGATAAGTAGATAAATCTTTAGCCTCACTAATTGCAGTTACTTTAGCATCCCATTCTTTGGAAGGCAATCTAAGAATTTTATAACTAAGTCTTGATTCTTATATATTCTTCCAAGAGAATGTAGCGTATTTAATTATTTTCATAAACCTTGTATACATATCAGAAAATGATTCAGAAGGAGACATACGAAAATAATTCATATTCATTGAACAAGTCTATTTATTGTGAGCTTCTCTAACCCATTAGTACCTTCATAAGTTATAACTAATTTGTCCCAAATTTCTTTTGCTGAATTTAACATAGAAATTTTCATGTATCACTGGAAGAAGTGCACAATGCAAAGTGTTACATGCCCTAGCATTAATTCATCTAATTCCCTCTCTAATGCAGTCCATTTCATCAAAAGGTTTTTCAATTTTAATACCATTAATTTCTTTAGTGGGAGTAATATTGTGTGTAAGCATGTGCCACATACGAGAGTCTTGCCCTCTTAGAATGTACTAAATTCATTTTCCAATAATCAAAAGGAACATTATCTAACAATGGAGGACGATGATAGATTGTCCTTCGGGAAGTGAACCCTTAGAAACCTTGTGCCATAGTTTATAAGTGGATCTACTCTAGGATGTTAAGCCAAAATAAATAGAGCCAAGGCTCTGATACCAATTGTTGGATGACTATGGCACCCAAGGGGGGGGTGAATTGGGGTTTTCAAAATTTTTATTAAAAGAAGAAAATTAAAATGATTTTTAAAACAATTTTGTAAGGAGTAAGTAATCACACAATAATTCTTATAAAAATGACAGAAAAATAAATACAAGGAATGAAAATAGAGGCACAATATTTTACGTGGTTCGCCCGATTTCCAATCCGACCTACGTCCACGCTAGCCAACTCTCGGCTAGAATTCACTAATTCCAGGTTTGCTTTGCAAACCTCACTTCTTTAAACCAAAGAAGTTCTTTACAACCTAAGTACTCTCCTACACGGCGAGTACAAACCCAATCTAATTACAATTAAAACTTCTCTAAGTCAAATGACTTAGATAAATAAAATGAAAAATACAATTTGATGTAAATAAAATAAGCTCAAATAATCTTGCAATAAAGTATCCACAATATTTGAGGTGATCTTACAAATTAACTTTAATCACCTCACTACTTGCAAATAGAATATTAAACTTGCTCACTTTAAGATAATTTATATTTTGTTTAAAATAAGAATAATATTTTAAATAAAAATTAGTCTTGCTGATTTAAACTTTAACTCATCCAATTAAGTAAAATGAATTTGATAATAGATGTAAATCTATGTCACTTAAAGAAGTAAAATATTATGCTTTGCTAAACTTATGGATTTAAAAGATATGATATAGAAAACTTTAATATGAAATTTCCAACAAGTATTTCACCATAAGATAATTTTTCAAGAAAGAAATATATTGTGAAAGCTAAAAAAGCAGCAATAGAGATTTAGAGATGGAAAGCAAACTCAAGAACGTAAAGATGCTACTGGCTTTGTGTGTTGAAGCTTTCCAAATGATTTCGGATCTCACAAATGAAAAGAACTCTTGAATAAACTCAAGGCTTCTCCTCTCACAAGATTTAGCATGTTAAGAAGAAAGGAAGATGAAAGAATTGCTGAGTTTTTTGTTGTGAAGCAGCCCTTACATGATGAAGAAGATAGTATTAAGAGAAAAGGCAAGTAAAAGAAATAATTTTTTTAAAAATAGACATAATTGCATATTTAACGAGCAACTAACTGTTGACTCGGCAAGCAAGTTGGCTTTTTTTTTTTTTTTTATGACGAGTAACCGTCTGCTACCACACACTGACTTGTTGAGTGCGCTTGACGGTCTATAAACCCAGGCCGACCTACCGGGAAACACAAAAAAAAGGCTATTAAAGGGTTTTTTTTGGCTTTTATTATGATATTAAGAAAAATACATAAATAAAATTATATAAAACTTGAATAAAATATTTATAAATATATAAAAAATATTAAAATTAAATTTTATTGTAGTTTTTTAGGATTATAAAAATAAGAAAGCCGGCAAAAAAAATAACTGTGGGCAAGAAAAAATTCAATCACCCATTAAAAATGCATTACATATATAAACATTATATTAGTTTAAGTTTTTACATTAGGATTTTTAAAAATAAGAAAGCCAGCTAAAAAAATCTTTGGGCAAAATAAAAAATGTAAATCGTTCATTAAAAATACATAAAAAATATAAAAATTATTTTTTTAAGTTTTTACCTTCAAATTTAAATTTTCTTTAGTTTAATAAAACTTATATAAAAAGTAAATCCTAAAGAAAAAACTAAAATTAAATTTAATTCTGATATTTGTTATGTATTTATAACTATTTCATCTTAATTTTATTTAATTTTTTTCTTAAAATTATAAAAAAAGGGAGACAATTTTTTTTTTTTGTCTTTAGTATGTTGCCTGTTAAATGAGAGATTATGCCTATTTTGAAATTTTATTTTAATATATATTTTGTAATAATTAAGTTTTTTATCATACCTACTTTTAAAATTTATCCTAAATTTTTTATCATGCCAATTTTAACATTTATTAAATATATTTTAAAATAAGTATAATATTGATGAAAAATTGGTTTGATCAACACGAATCTCAAGGCAAAATTTGAATTCGAAACTTCCGGAAATTGAATTCAGGATCATATAAGCTCTAATTTAAACAAACTATAAGTAGAACTGAATGTCTCAATGAGACAAATCCAACGATATCAAAGTAGTCGAATCCAAATCTAATGAGCTCAAATCAAACACTTAAAGCATAATTAGGAACATCGAACTTAATTGAATGATCAGATGATCTCGAAATTCAACATCCTTATAGTCGAATCGAGCGGTTAGATGAGACTATTTCAACGAGCCCAATATCACTCAATTATGACATCAATAAGATATTTAAATGTTGAATAAATGTTTCATGATCAAGATAATCGAAATGAATCATATGATGAAATGTTTTGGACTATGATTCAAATTACCAAAATGCTCATCCTAAAATATGTATTATAAATAGTCTCATTCTCCACATCAAGGGGGAGAGAAGGGAGAGAACTATAGTGCTTCTTCTATTTTTCGGTTATCACCGCCAATGAATATCAACAATCACCATCATTGCCGACGACCATCATTAGTAAACACCATCATCTTTGTCAACAGCTATTGGGTTTCAATTGCCCTCTTGAGGACATCATACTTTTGTTATATTACAAAAGAGAAATCAAATATTGTATTCATAGGGCATCTCCAACCGAAACTCTCATTTTCCACTGCAAAATGCAGTAAAATAAAAAAGTGTCGTGATTCATCTCCAGTGGAACGTCATTTTGCCCCCAAATCATCGTTCGTTTCTTTCGCGTCTTTCTCGAACGAGTTCGGTAGAGAGAAAGAATGGCGCAAGTGAATAGTGCGACGCCAATATTGGCGTTGCACTGTTCAACTGCGATCAAATGTCGGAAGAAATGACGTTTAGTTGCGACGTTTGAGGGCCTCCATTCGACTGTTTGCCGAACGGTTGGAGATAAGTCTTAAATAGTCATATTCTACTTCAACTTTGAGGAATAAATGAATATTATATATTATGATATATAGTGAATTTTTTATTTAGGCTAAGCTTTATGATTTTTTTCATTTTCAAGTTTTTCTCGTAAAAAAATTTATGAACTCTTATTTTTATTTATGTGCGTTAAATTTTTATATGACACTGAGATATAAAATATATATTATAATGATACAAATTTTTTATCAGGCATTGAATAATAACTATTATATTTCATTTATCTCAATAAATTGAAAGCAAATTTTTTTATTAAAATTTTTTCAATTTTGTAAAGGTGAGGAACATTGATCATGCATTAAATGACGTGAATGGCAATAGCGTAATTATGAGTTTAAAGAAGTGTAAATGTGAGACGCGCCTCTCATTAAAATCTCCGCCTCCTCCATTTAGTTCTTCCTGTCCTCTCCGTCACCACTCTCTACGGAGCGAAGGAGAAGAAAAAGGCAAATTAGGATTTGATTAGCGTCTCTGCCTATAAAGCTGGAAATCGAGCGTAAAAGGTGAAAGCAAGGAAGGAGTGGGGGTGTAGAATTAGAGTGTAGCTTGATTTGATCTATGGCGTTGAGATTGGTTTTCCCTCAGGATGCTTTCCTTTGTGCCTCGTCGCCTCGTGGTCGCAATGGGCATATCGTGACCGCTCGATCGCCTCGGTTTGCAATGGCATCGACAGTCCGGACCTCCACTAGGTAGGCTATTTCCTTTGATTGCTCTTCTTTTTCTCCAATTTCTGACCGGCGGTTGTGTTTTATGGGGGGATTTCAGTGGGTTTACCGATTTGGGGTTTTATGGCACGTTTTTTGAAGCTGGGTTGTTCGAAAGTTGGAAAATTGAATGTGCATGAATGTATCTAGTTTGTTTTTGTATTGTTTCTGCTGGTTTACGGGAGGAATGCCTGTTTTTTGGGGATCAGGATCTGAGTAGGCGCTGCTCCTGTGGGACTGCGATCAAGGTCTTGGAACTTTTTTTTTTTGGCTTGGATTGGGTTTTCTCTCTTCATCTTGTTCTTTTATAGTGATTGCGTTTCATATTTCACAACCAATTCAATGTGCAGTTCTTTTACTGGAGTTTTTACTTTTTTGTTCTTTGAAACTGTGTTGTGTTAATTTTCATGGGGCAGAAAGTAGAAGGTTTTATGTTCGCTGATTTTAAACTTTCCTCACTGTATGGACTTTGCTTTTTCTGTTAATTTGTTCATGCTTTGCAATTTTCGTGGATTTGTAGTTTCAGGTCTTTAAATCAAGTCTTTCAATTTTTCTTCTTTATGCGTCCTCATTCCTCTGGTTTGGTGGGCTTTAAATTTCGATTTTGCTTATCTGCAGTTAGTTTATTGAGTTGCATGTTTTTGTAATCGGGATCGAGATTCAACATCGTCTGTTTTTGGGCTTGATGTTGTCTTTATTTTTGTTCCATTCTACTTGCGAATAATGTTTTTCAAACTCATTTCGATACACCCAATGCCCATGCTTTTGCATAAACAACAATAACATCAACCTTAAAAATCAGGAAAAAGTACTTCTTTTAGAGATTTTTTTGTTGAAAAAAGTACTTTTTAAATATTAAACGGTTGGTATAAGATTAAAAACAATCAGTGGTACTGCTGCTGATATCACGTGTCAAGAATTATTTATGATTGACGACAAAAACAATGTTTTGGTCCATCAACTTCTGTGCTAGCAACTTTTGACCGTTTGGTTGTTGCTATGATTGTCTGTGACCGCCTATTGTTTGTTGGACATTTACTCTTTTTCAGAAGCGCGCATCATCGAAGGTTTTTGCTTGTGAATTTTTCACTCTTAACGCATAAAATAATAAATGTTTGGTTGTTGAGCTTGATATAGTGAGATGAAGTTGGGCTTTTGATGGCGCCTCTATGTGCTTTTCATTTTCAAGTAGAGAGAAACTAAATTAGAAGATTTGTTAAGCATATTTTGTCATAATTAGTAGAACGTAGACTATTTGTTCAGCGGATCTGAGGCTAATGAAGCTCTGTCGGGCACAATCGAACCCGGTCAAGTATGGCGGATTTGGAACACTTAAAAACTGTTTTTCTAGACGCATATACGTGCGTGTGTATGCATGCATGTTCGTTTATATAATCCTATCCTATGTAGCAAAAGTTATAGGGTAGGTGATTTCAGTGTGTCATAATTAAAAATGTTGATGAAATGTTATTGTAGTAAACGAGGTATTAGAGATGCTAGGATGCAAAAGCACTTTCATGCTCTATGCTGCACTAGTTTTCACTTGCCACTATTGCCAAAGAGCATTGTTAATTTGTTATCCTTTTTGCCACCAATTTAGTTTCCATGGGACTGCTTAACTACTGATGCTGCATGTGAAGAAGCTTGGCAGCTAAGGTTTTAAAAATTGGACTGAATTAGCTAGTTCAATAACCATGAGTTTGTACCTTAATGAGTTATGTTTATTGAAAAATCTAACCTTTGAGGAAAATCACTTTATTATGTGAATTGTTGAACCGTTCACAAATTTTAGAATCGTGCAATATCTCGTGTGGCCCAAAATTCAGTCTAAATGCAAATGAAATTATGTTTTAGTCTATTCAAACTTTCTCTTTCTGTTTTTTATTCACATAACATTGTTGATTTGATTGTTTGAAGATTTTCAAGAGCTTTGATAGCAAAATAGGTTAATAAGCTCATTTTCTCTACATGTGATGGTTTTTAAGAAAAATATTTTGGCCTTTTTTTATTAGAAATTAAAATACGTAGATGCCAAACATAAAACATTCATAAAATTTAAAATTTTAAACATTTTATTTTAAATTTTATGCGCGCACACTTATATGTATATATTATACCATTTTCGCATTTTTGTTTTCTTCATTTTTTTTTGTTTATAACCTGTTTTCAATGGGTAGTTTGATCCTTTTTTTTTTTAAACAATTTAGGAGCCATGCGACTGTTTAACTTTTGATGCTTCATGTGAAGTTTTTTTTTTTGCCCTTTACCATTATCTTCTTTTTATTGTATTTTTATCCATTTGTAGGAAAATGGTTTTTATATTTACGTTGGTGTTATTAAAGTTTCATTATCCAGATAACTTTGTATTACTTCATCTAAGATTTGCGGACAAATTATGCAAATAAAGATGCTATTTTCTTTACTAAATTTTTTACCATTTACCTTTAAGCTATTAAGTGCCAATAGCAATGCTTGCTGTATCCGTCATCATCTAGTTTCAATATGCAGCTATTCCTTGGATAACATTTTGGATAAGAAGGATGCACCAATTGACATATTTGATTTTAAATCAGGAATGATTACTTGGATACCAAATTAGATACTTCCATGAATTGTAAAATATATATACTAGTACTCATTTTGAAAATAGATTATGCATGAACTTATGAAACTGATATATATATATATGTGTGTGTGTGTGTGTGTGTGAGCGCATATTTTTATTTGGTAGATTAATATAGGATGTATGGCCATCCCATAATTTCTGTTGATTAACTGTTGCCTGGTTTCTACAGTAAAAAATCTAAACGCTGTAGTGGTTGAGCTTTTAAGAGCAATTAATTTGATTTGCATTTGAGTTTATTCTTTTAGTATTATTTATTTTCATCACATCATTTGATTATTTTATTCAATTTGCATCATTCTTTATTATATAAAAATGTCTGAATGCGTATCTTAGTCATTTGATTGGCAGTCTGTTATTATAAATAGCCTTATTTGCTATTTGTAACTGATTTTATTGATGAATGTTGCGGCTCAAGTTCTGGTCTTGCTCCCTTTGTGTGAAGCAAGCTTACCTTGTTTGAAGGAAGGTTTTTATAGTATGAAGCATTGTGCGTTTGTGTTAAACATTTGCGGTGCAGATTTATGATTCACTCTCCTCTCTCTCTCTCTCTCTCTCTCTCTCAACCCCACAATTATTCCCATTCCACCTTTACTAAGGCATTGCAATCAATCATAAAAATGCTCATCTCAGTTTTTCCTCAATATACATTGTATGCTTTAAATATTGCTCTTTCCTATTTTTGTTTCAAATATTTAAAATCATGTTCCTAGCTAACAAAAAATCCTAAAAGTCAATCATTATCCATTTAAATCTGTTCAACAACTCTACAAACAAGCTCTACAAAACTCTGTTTATGCATAAATGTTCGAAACCCAACCTAATTCTTATTCTAGTCCTCATCGTAACCCTATCCACCCCTAGACCAAGATATAACGCCTAGAGTAAACGTTTTGATCCAACCACAAATTGGAAACAAAGAAGGCTTGCAGAAAACTTTGGGTCAATTGAATTGAATCACATTGATCACTGAACCAGATAACTGATGAACCGTCTCTGTCTCCATGTTTACTCATGGTTCAACCCCTTCTCTTTTTATTTTACACTGAATACTGTACCATTCAGAGAGAGTGCCCTATCAAACACCATTGAGAGTTGAGTTTTGATCTTTTTTTTTTTCTATGATAAGTTGTTAGTTTGTATTTGAAAGTTTATGATTTTAATTGTTTGATTTTGGAAAATCTTGTGTTGGCATGATCCTTTGCTCTTGGAAGCTCCATTAAAAGACAAAATCAAGAGTAGAACTCCATTCCTCCTTGTTCTTTCCATAGTGTTTCCTAGTTCATTAAATTGCTACGCTACCTGATGTATTAATTGAGATCTTAATAGTATTAATGATTTGTGCTGAAAAAAAATCTCTTAACGTCTGCCATTTTGTTGTCCTGTCCATAAAATTATGACATTTTATACCCATACTCTACCACATAGCTGTGAACCACTACAAAAGCTAGAAGTAGTCATTCTCTTCATCATTTTGGATATTCTATTAGCTGAGTTGATAGTTGTATGATCCTCTATTTGCTATTAAATCTCCAACATAATTTCATTGTATATAAGGTTATCGTACTATTTGCATTACACTGTTTAATTCCATGTGTCATTGCTTAATGATTTCATAATCATCATGGACAAGGTTAAAAGCGGATGATAAATACCATAAATTCCATCATTAAGATACAAAGTATAGGAATTATTATGATTCACATCAATGTTATGATAAGTACCACTATAATACCTTACATAAGAATAAAGGTGACTTTCTATCTGTTAATGGACGCAAGGCTGAAATCTTTTGAGACTAATTGGATGTTTTAGAGGACTATGATGTCTCCAATGTAAAAACAGCAAACAATCACTTGGAAAACTGCAGGAATGCCCAAAAGGTTGCTGATTTTGTATTATTTCTTCAATGCGAAAGCAATATATAGGTGATCTACAATTAGAGAGGTAGATCAGCTCTCTGATAGGAAACACTTGAAGTTATCAAGAATCCCTATCAATATTTGATAAAACATTGAAAACTTTCCTCCAAACTCCAATGAAAACCCAGAAAAACAGTAATTTTATTGCAAAAATCAAATAGAACGGAAGAAAATAACAAGATACAGTTAATCATCAATTCGAGAGGAGGACCTATCTCTCCCAAATCTCTAGAAGCCGATAGAGCCCAAAAAAATCTAAGAGATCTCAAATTTCTGTCAAATTCAAGATGCCCTAACCATAGCAAAACAAACTATTTAATAAAAAGAAAAAAAATGCATACAATCCAAAAGTAAATCTCTAAACAGTACCTACCTAAACTCCTAAATCCTTCCTAATCAGAGTTTTTGGTCTGGGCAGCTGGAGCTACTCGTACATGAGG